ATGCAAAGAATTAAGTACCACTAAATAGAAGCTCAAGACACAGTGACAACAAACAGCCATGAAATCAAGAGGATATCTTCTTGTGGTGTGAAAAAAAATAGAACTTGTTAAGAAAACAACCAAAAGTTAGAAAACACACGTTTCTGAAACAGAGGGACAAGCAGCACTGACACAATACATACAGGAACTTTGAAGATTAACACAAAATTGTAGGAGATGAAAAAGATATATAGAAAGAAACTTGAAACTCAATCCTGTTTTATCCATAAAAACATATCAGTCAACAGGTGCATATTTATCTGTGATCCACGGGTAGTTGTGAAAGCTACAGCACTCCTCTTTCCACCTTTAACCAATCAAACCTCACAAGTCACAAATATGATATTCAGTGTTTTATTTTCCTTTACTTCAGAAAGTATTTTGACTGATACTTTTCAGATGAACAATTGGAATACTAGAACCTCCACATCAAGAACTTCCTCGTGTTAGGCTATACAACGGTTTTGCAGTTATACATCCATATTTTTAGCTTCAAGCAACTATAAAAGAGCAGTCCTATTTTATCCATAAAAACACATCAATCAACAGGTCCATATTTAGCTGTGATCCACGTGTTAATTGTGAAAGCTACACCACTCCTCTTTTCACCTTTAACCAATCAGACCTCATAAGTCACAAGTACAATATTCAGTGTTTTATTTTCCTCACTTCAGAAAGTGTTTTCACTGATACTTTCCAGATGAACAATTGGAATACTAGAACCTCCACATCACAAACTTCCCAATGTCAGGCTATACAATGCTTTTGCAGTTTTACATCCATATTTTTAGCTTCAAGCAACTATAAAAAAGAGAGAGAGAGAGAAGGAAGAAATCTAGTATTTCATTACCAATCTTTTCAGCTCTGAAACACCAGAACCTGCATATCCCATCTGACAGCCAATTTGCACATGCCAGCTGCAGCATTCCCTATACTAAAAAATTATAACAATAGCTAACAATACCAAGACTTCCTCATTTAAGGCCACAAAACACTTTCAGCTTCTGTATACCCATACTTCTCTAGCTTAAAATAACCTATAAGTACAAATGTAAGAGATAGAGAAAGAGAGAGGGAATCTAACAAGTACTTATCTATTCTTGATCCTGTGGCTACCTTACCCTCCTAAAGAGCTAAAAGATTTTTTTTTTTTTTGGAAATAAAAGAGAGAATATTATTATGCACAAAAGTACTAAAAGGATACCACCCGAAAATACAAAATTACAAGTCGATCAGGTAGTCCATAACATCCCCAATATCTCCCCAATCAACTATGTCATGACCAATCAAAATAGAACTAAAAATATGAAACTATCTATCCCTAATATTTACAATGTCTGTTTCAATACCCTCAAAAACTCTAGCATTCCTCTCCCTCCAAAGAACCCACATAATAGAAATCAGAATAAGGAATAATTATTTTTTCTTTTTACATAAACCAGCCCGCACCCACAACTCCTTGCTAACACTACCCGCCATGGCCCACTTCATCCCCCTAATCCCATATGTGTACTCCCAAATTCTGTAGACCATAGGACAATGAAGTAACAACTGGTTGCATGATTCTTCTTCGGTCTTACACATGTAACACCTATTAGTCATCATCATACCTCTTTTTCTCAACATATCAATGGTCAAGATTTTTTCTTTAACAGTTTCCCAAATGAAAAAAGTAAATCGAGGCGGTGCTTTTGACCTCCAAATTTGCTTAAACAGTGCTGTCTTAGCATTCTCCTCACTATTTTTGACAATAAAGTTGTAGTAGGACTTCACCGAAAAACCTCTTTTCTTATCCAGTTTCCAGATTCTTTTGTCTCACATTAACCACCTTAAAAACAGCAAGTCAACGAAGCAGATTACAGAATTCTAACTCTTCTACAATTTCTTCTAACCTGTATACACCACCACCCCCCCCCCCCCCCCCTTCTCCCTTCTCAAACGCCTTCTCCACAAGAATATCCCTCTCACTAGCAATCTCAAAGATCTTCAGGAATTTATCTTTCACTTTGAAGTCACCAGCCCACTCATCCTTCAGAATTTAATTTCAGCATCATTACCCAGCTGCCAGCAAAAACAGTCATAAAAATTTTTGCTATCGGTGCTAATTTTCTTTCACAAACTACAACCATGACGTTTATATTTCCCTCTTCCTCCCCCATCCCTCTCCTAATCACCCCACCTAGGCTCCACCACCCTCCTCCACAATTTCTCCTTCTCATTTACAAATCTCCATAGCCATTTGCCATGTAAAGCAAAATTTAATTTTGAAATACATCTCAACCCCAAACCACCTTTATTGACCGGTCTCTTAACCTCCTAAAGAACTAAGAGATGAGGGGAAGACCTCATTAGGCTTCATATCGGTGTGTTTGCATTGTTAAGGCTCCATAACTAGATGCACGTAAAAGCCTGAGTGGGCCATAAGGATGAGAGAGAGAAGAGATCAAATATTTGATGTAAAAATTTGTATTTGCAATAATTAGGGCAAGATTTAACAGAGTAAACTTATCTCAAAAGAACAAAAAGCTTTAATGGAGTAGATAAATATAGCAAAAATAAGCAGAAAACTAAACATAAGCCATACAGTAGTAATTATAAAAGTACTAGAACTATGCATAGAACCTAGTTATACCCTAGAGTTAAAACTCTAAAACTGAAGTCGTAAGTCATCAAAGAAAAATAACTATTTCACAAATAAAGGGATAAGTGTACAGATGACTGAACTATCGGCGTCATTGTAGCAATACTAGATCGCATTAATTTAGAGGATGCTATGTTCTCTCCTCGATCTGATTATAGGGCCTTGTTACGTGAAATAATATTATATAAAGCCAGAATATTTCTGGCATCTCCTCTCTTTCTGCCTATGTTGACTAAAACAAAAGCTTGCACTCATCAGAAAGAACCCAAATATCCCCAACAGTAAGAAGTACTTATCTGCATAATTTGACGTATTCCAGAACTGCCTTCTACAGGTTACAACAAATAACTGCAACCTTAGGAATAGGAACTACCCCTAAAGAATAGCATGCCTGATATCATAATTTCAGAAAAATTCACCTGACATATATAACTAACAATAAATAAAACAATAAACTAGCACATAAACCATACACTTGCACAATAAATGACATAATAAATTTGAAATAAACAAGGACATTCTGCCCGTAAGTTGCTAACTAAGTGCATATTTAAAAAAATATATAAAGTTGATGACTAAGTGCTGGCTAGGACCAAAAAGAGATCAAGATGATGGAATTAAAGGAAGCCATCCTCTCTTGGCGGAGTGCAGCTATCCCAAATAAAATAGGATGTACTGGAAGAGAACTTTCAGAAAACGGAAACTCTTTATTCTAGAGTCCTAATTGGATTTCTTCTTCCCAATTAATATTTTAAAGAGTTGGAATTAAAGGAAAGATCAAAGGGAGAGGAGTCCTTATCCTAGCCGAAAATCTTCCTCAATTTTCTCATGGAGGAATCTTTGTTTTCTACTTCAAATTGAAAACTTTTTAAAGCACCTTCAACACAACTTCTTCACCAAAATATTAATTAATTATTGAAGTCCAAATCTGATTAAGATAAAGAGGAAGAATTTAGCCACAAGAAGGAATCCCAGTCAAGAGAGAAGAATTTTATTTCTTTTATATTTATGAGTTTTTAATTTAATTTTTTAATTAGAATTTTAGATAAAAATATATTTAGAATTCTCTTAAAATTTAGGTTCCAATTTCTACTCAGATTTGTAAATTTTATGCCTATAAAAAGGCCTTATTCCTTCGGTTGTAAACACATCAAGTCAAATCAATCAAATATAACCTTTATACTTGATAGCTTTCAACTATCGTGAGCAATTTTTGAGAGGTTTCTTCAACCATCCTTTTTACTGGAAAATTGGTTCTACTTATCAAGACATTAAGATGTGTTAGTCTCCCCACCAAAAACTTAATGAAACTACTCTAGCAAAAGAACATAAGACAAAAAGTGGATAGCAGTAAAACACTATGAAGCACAACACCATAGAAGCCTTCCGAAGCAATTCCAAAGATGTAGCCATCAAAGGATTCTCAAGCACACAAGAGGTTGATAAAGTGGTAGATCCTAGGAAGGTAGTCAAACTGGAAAACTATCAACTGTACCAACATTACAAGGGTTACTAAATCTTTCCCAGCAGCATAATCATAAAACAACCTTTTGAAAACTTAGAATGGATCTTACGTAGCAGTGAAGCTAGAGAAGCTGGTCAACAAAGCGGTATAGAAGACAAAGCAACGCTGAAGCAGGACAATTAAAGTCCAGCCTTGCCAAAAAGAAACACAATCACGACACTACCCAAACTTGCAGCTGAAAAACTAACACATCTTAGTGTCCTGGTATTAGAAGCAGCCCAACTTGCATTCTTAACCCACAAGATCGGGAATCAGTAATTGCAAAAATCCCCACAACTAAAATATTTCTTTCTTGCACCGCTGTCCTCCTTCCAAATAAAGCAACATATCTTAAATCTTAGAAACATCTACTATCTAGTCTTGTTTCTTGTATATGCTTTATGCCATCAACAAGACAAGAAGGAAAAACTGAAGTAACCACACCTTGAACATTGATGAGAAAGAACAAAAAGACGAGATGTGGGAACTGTATTTAAAAAGTTGAACAAAATAAAAAAATTGAAAACTCTAAACAAGATTTTAAGCTGCAAGAGATATGTAAATAAGAGCCAGGACAGAGAGTTGAAAAGATGGGATCTTTCAATAGTCAACTAGACATCTGCAGACATGGAAGCTTTCAAGAGAGGGGGGAGCCTGAGTAATTTTAAGGAGGAAATTTCAGCGAGGGATTAGATGAAAACTTAGCGATTTTTTTTTTTTTTTGTCAGTAGGTCAGATCTTAAGCCACAACGTTTTGTCTCCATATAATAGTGATTTGTCCGCAAAGAACTAGACTCAACCACACAGGCAGTCAAAATTTCAAGTACGTGAAATGTATTCAGTTAAAACATAAGCCAGGTGCAAGATAACCACAAAAAGACACATATGATGACAGAGATTCACTGAACATCCGGAAAACTGACATATTATGGTTATTTAAATATATAAAGTTTAATGCAGATATGTTTAAAGTACTAACTTCATATTAACTATAGCAAATTCAATGGAGTACAAGTAACAGAAATCAAAGGGAAAATACAAGCAAAAGTTAACAAGTTAAATGAAACATAATCTTTGGAAAATCTGAGTCCTATTATATAGTAAGCTACACAGTCCTTAACTGTGTCAAAGTTTTCACTCAAGTAAAACCATCAAATATAACACCGAGAGAAGAATTGACTCTTCTAGTCAGCAAGTGCTTACCATCACAGTAAAAAGGATATGAAAGCCAGAGTTTTGCTTGTAAAGCAGAATATTACCCCAAAACAATCATATAAAGTTTTC